TCATTTTATGGTTTGAACCTTGAGGTCAATTTTGTCTGAGATAAGAATTGCAACTCCTGCTGTGTTTAAGTTGCTATTTGCCTGGTATATTTTCCACTGGCCTTTTATTCTTAGTTTATTTTTGTCTGTGAACTTAAGATATGTCTTTTCAGGCAACAGATTAATGGATTATGTTTTCCAAGCTAGTCAGCAAGTCTTTTTATTTTAGTGTAGGAATTGAGGATGTTGACATTTAGAATTGGTATCACGATCTGTGGATTCATTGCCATCATCTTGTGCCTTTTGTGTTGTGTGTTTTCTTATCTCCCTTCATATCATTATGTTGTGTCTTTGTGGGGGGCTTCTTTATTACCTTCTTTTCCCTCTGAGGGAAATCGTGGTTATCTGCGTGTTGTTGATGTTATCTTGGTTATCTTGATGTTATCTTGGTGATTGTTATTGACTCGTTGGTTTCTGGTTGGAGTTGGGTGGGCTATATGGTGTTCTCTTGCTTGTGCTTGGTTGATGTTGGTGTTTGACTGTAGTGAGTCGGCAAGGATCTTCCTCAGGGTTGGGTGTCTTATGCCATATTCTTTGACTTTTTCTTTGTCCTGGAAGACCCTTTCTCTCCTTCTATTTTAATATATTGTTTGGAAAGGTAGAGGATTCTTGGGGAGGCATATTTTCTTTCAGCTTTTGGAAGATTACTTCACTCACTCCTCCTCTTCATGGTTTCTGTTGATAAGTCTGAGCATATTCTTACCTGAGAGCTATTGTATGTGACTGTCTTCCTTTCTCTTGCTGTTCTTAGAATTTTCTCTTTTTCCTCGAAGTTGGATAGTTTAACTGTTATATGCCTTGGTGAGTTCTTCTTGGAGTTTAGTCTAATTGGTGTCCTCGCTGCTTCCTGTATGAATGAATGATTTTCCTTCATTAAGGTGGGAAAGATTACTTCCAGGACTTCCCTCGTTAGTTTATCTGTTGACTTCTTTGTTGTTCTTGTTTCTATTCATAGCTTGTGTCATTGAGCTCAGGTTTTCCTCCACCTCTTTTATTATCTTATTTGATTGTCTTTCTCATTTGTTGAGGTCTGCCTGACTGTCTTTGAGATCACTGATACGATTTTAGGCCTTCTCTAGTCTGTTCGTGAGACCAGTCATCTTGTGTGTAGCTTGTTAACTTCATCCGTTAGCTCCTGTATTTCCCTTTGGTGCATAGACTTCATCCCCTCTACCGTGGACTTCATCTCCTCTCTAATTGCATCCTTATCCTGCATATGTTCTCTCATCCCCTGTATTACTCCAAGTAGCTTTCTCAAAATTTCTTTTTGTGGCAGACCCATGTCTGATTCTTGTATGAGCGTCGTTAGCCCTGCTGTTGTGATTTGTCTTTCTTGCTTTCTTGTTGGGAATGATGTTGTATGCTGTTGTTTACGTGATGATTTTGTAGAGCTTGGCAACATATTTCTGGGAGACCAAGGGACCCTGGGCTCTTTCTCTGTGTGACTGGCAACTGTGTTTTTAAGGGCTGCCTGTGGCCTACTATGCTGGTGGGTTGGACTGCTGTGTAGGCAGGTGCTGTGGCGACTCAGTGGTCAACAGTGATGGGGGGGGGGCCTCAGAGACTTCAATGGGGCTGGTGGCTGTATGTATGCCACTGGACAGACTTGGTCTGGATTGCCAGGGCCTGATTTGCAGCCTTTATTAATATTATTATTTTGTATTATTTCTAGGCCTCTAATAGAGGATAATGGTGGGGGAGGTCTCACTGTGAATGGCAGAATTTTTGAAAGAAATTATGAATAACAAGATGTATATTTTTACCATTATATTTAACATTTATGTTAAGGTTTTATTTCTACAAATGAAATAAGAATAGAAAATTAAATACCTGATATAAATACCAGAATATGAAAGAAATTAGTGTAAATAATAATAAGTAGATTTGTTGATGGCTATTGAATTTATTCAGATCTCTTGTGATTTCATGGATAACAGAATAAAATGTTACCTTACTCTGCACCATCTTTGTCATCTTTGATATGGTTGAGCCAATTGTTGTGACAATTGTTTCAATCCATCTTATTGAGAGCTTTCCTCATTTTTGCTGATTCTCTACCAAGCATGATGTCTTTTCATAAAATTGACCTTTAATTATAATCTACCCAAAGAAAATAAGTTGAAGTTTTGCCTTCCTTGCATCTAAGGAACACTCAGTTTTATTTTGTATAAATTATTGTAAGTTACAAATGATTATCTGCAAAACCCAAGAGAATGCTAAAAACATACAAAATCAGTGAGTATATTGGATAAGAATATAAAATAAATATATAAATATAAAAAAATGAATGATTCGTCATTGTTGCAATTACCAGGTAGAAAACTTTTATAAAAAGATTTTAAAAAGTTAAATACAGTCAAGGATAAATTCAACAAAATGGTTTTCTTCTTACATGAAGGAAAGTAAATTTTATTCTTAATAAAAATAACATTAATCATACTAGATTTCAATAAAAATATCAACCTACCCCAAATGATCTACAGAATCAACACAATTTCTATGAAAATTGCAACAGCTTTTCTTGCACAAATGGAAAAACTAATCTTCAAATTCATATTTGAACAGGAAGTGGGGTCCTGGATAGGCAAAGCAGTCTTGAAAAAGAAGTACGAAGACTCATGCTCTCTGATTTCAAGACATGTCAAATCATGTGGTACTGGTAAAAGGATAAGGCCAGTGAAGTAGGTTGTGAGTCCAGAAAGAAACCCATTTGACGTTTCAGAAAAATGCCAAGCCCATCAATGGGAATGCATAATCTCCTCAGATGGTGCTGAAATAGCTTCACACAATTTGTGAATTTCACTTCCTATAGGAATGAGAGCTTTAGTTTTTTTGATAAAATATTCATCTTTATTAATATTACATCACGGAGTACATATCAAATTATGAAGCTCTGTAGAGTAGCTTTAAACAATATTCTGAGAATCTTCTTTTGGCTTCTTTCCCCCAGCTTCAACATATTTTGCATATTCCTTTCCATTTCCTCCATCTTCCTCTTCTTTTTCCACCTTCACATTTCTCCTCCTTTACTTCCTTATTTTTTCCACCTTGTCTTTTATATTATCCATCTTCATCCTCCTTTTTATCTCTTTATTTGTTTCATTTTCTTCTTTCCCTTTTCCAACTCTGTCCTCTTTTCCATCTTTTTTTTTGCCAAATTCTTCCTCTTTTCAATCTTCTGCTTTCTTCTTTCCATCTTTGTCTCCATTTGTATCTTCTTTCCCTTTTATATCTTCTTCCTCTTTTCCATCTTGCCCTTTCTTTTTCTCTTCTCCTTTTCCATATTTCTCCTTTCAGCTGCTCTTCTCTTCTTTGCTTTGGTCTTGCTCACCGCCTTTCTCTTTTTGCTTTTCATCTTCCATTCCTTTTATTGTCGCTATTTCTTTTTTCCTTCCTCCTCCTCCTCACTTTCATTATCTATTTCCTCCATTTCTTTTTCAGTAGCTAGTGCCTCCATAATTTTGGCTTCTCCATTTTCAGTATTTTGAGTGTTGTGTTTTGCTTCAACAACTTCTTGTTTCGTTTCAGTTCTTGCTTTGGTACTTAATTTCATCTATTTTCCCATCATACCACCTTTTGTCTTCATTTTCTTTGGAGTGGCCATTCTTTTTGGCTTTGTCTCAAAATTAATGGGCACAGGGATATCAGACAGTCTAGCTGATCTTCTCTTTGGCAACTGTTTTATTTCACCTGGATCTGCTGCCTTTCTTTTAGGCATAGTTGTAGTTCTTTAAAGGAAATTTTAGTAGCAGTAAAAAGCTGAGAGCAGTCTTTGACCTCTCAGAAAGCAAGGGAGTTTTCTTTTTTTTTTCTACCTATTTAAAAAAAAATCGTTTTATTGGGCTCATACAACTCTTATCACAATCCATACACACATCAACTGTGTAAAGCGCATTTGTACATTCATTGCCCTAATCATTGTCAAAACATTTTCTCTCCACTTAAACCCCCGGCATTAGGTCCTCATTTTTCCCCTCCCTCCCCGCTCCCCACTTCCTCATGAGCCCTTGATAGTTTATAAATTGTTATTTTGTCATATTTTGCCCTGCCCGATGTCTCCCCTCACCCACTTTTCTGTTGTCCGTCCCCTAGGGAGGAGGTCACATACCCTCCCTGTCTCGCCACTCACTCCACTGGTCCCATAGGGCCCATCTGCCCTGGATTCCCTGGATTTTCAATTCCTATCTGTACCAGTGTACATCCTCTGGTCTAGCCAGACCTGCAAGGTCGAATTCAAGTCATGGTAGTGGGAGCAGGGAGGAAACATTTAGGAACTAGAGGAAAGTTGTATTTTTCATCGTTGTTACATCGCACCCTGACTGGCTCATCTCCTTTTTTGTTGTTGTCGTGTGTTGTTGTGCTATACACACACACACACACACACACACACAGATATACTAGCATGCAGAATGCATTAGAATGTGGATTGTAGCAGATGAAGTCAGGTTTCTTCGCCACATTTGCTTATGCACCCATTTGTTGTTCCATGTGGGCTTTGTTGCTTCTGAGCTAGATGGCCGCTTGTTTACCTTCAAGCTTTTAAGACCCCAGACACTATATCTTTTGATAGCTGGGCACCATCAGCAAGGGAGTTTTCAATGAACTAATTATAGCACAGAGTGTACACTCCTCTGGGTGTGTTGGGGGAGGGTAGCTGGGTGGGGGTAGGGGTCAGAATAAGAAAGTTTTTAATCTTTTAGTCTAAATCTTGTCTTCACCCCTTTACTAGCTTGATAGTTTTAGCTTTTATGACTTTGTTGCTGATAGTTGCTCTAAAGCCAATTCCAACTGATAAATGAAATTGAAAATGAAAGTATATTATTATTTGACTTAGGAGGTATTTGTGAAATGTGTCTTAATTTGTTTTCCTGAAAGTTTGGTCTCTTTCACAGAAATAAGATTGATTTTTTTAAAAACTCAATTCTGAAAAGAATTTTCTCTCTTTTGTCTCTATTTCAAAGGTATGCAACCACTCATGTATTCTGTGCAGGAAGCATTAAACTCCAGACCATGGTGGATTCGTGTAGGTACTGACATTTGTTACTATAAGTAAGTATTCTGAGAATAGTAGGACATTAGTTTACAGATGGAATTTTAACTTCACTGCTATTTTATTGCAGAAAATAGTAGAATGATTATTTCCTGTTTTGATTTGTGGGATTTTGTTGTATTTTAATAAGGACTAGAATTTGAATTTTCCAGGAGTATATACAATGGAAATAAAATGTGGTGTGTTTTTTTTTTATGTACACTCTAAATCTTGTCTTGCTATATATATCATTAGCTTTTATGACTTTGTTGCTAGTAGTTTCTCTCGAGTGAGTTCCTACTCATGATGACTCCATGTGTACAGTGTAGAACTGTTCCAATGTGTATTCAAGGCTACATGATGCTCACGGGTCTGCCAAATATCCTCTCGGTGATAGAACTGCCAATGTTTCAGCTTGTAGGCAAGAACTTAGCCCATTTGTACCACCCATGAACTCTCTTTTCAGCTTTAAAGCTTTTAAAATGTGATCGATTAAAACTGGAAAGAGAAATTGTATGAAAAATTTACAGTCCCATCATTTTTGTTCTATGACATCAAGTGCAATTTTTATTTTATGTTTAATATTCGGACAGAAATACTTACCTCCTTTCAATTACCAA